AAGGTGTTGCCATGGGGTTAGTCTCCCCTTTGGCTTCCAATTTCAAAAACACTGTTGCTTTTAAAACAGGCCCAACTTTTCTTAAAAACCCTGAGAAAATTCATGCAAATTTTTGTTGTTTAGTCGTGTATGACCCTGCACGACCCCATGGACAACATTCCTCCAGGCCCCCCTGTCCTCCACCATCTCCGGAGTCCACTCAAGCTCACACCAACTGCTTCAGTGCCTCCATCCAGCCACCTCATCCTCTGCCGTTCCCTTCTTCTTTTGCCATCTATTGTTCCCAGCATCAGGCTCTTCTCCAGGGAGCTCTTCCTTCTCATTAGGTGGCCAAAGTGTTTGAGTTTCATCTTCAGTATCTGGCCTTCTAAAGGGCAGTCAGGGTTGATCTCCTCTAGGACTGACCGGTTTGATCACCTTGCGGTCCAAGGGACTCACAGAGTTTCCTCCAGCACCACAATTCAAGGGCCTCAATTCTTAGGTGCTTTCCTTATGGTCCAGCTTTCACAGGCATACATTGCAACTGGGAAAATCATGGCCTTGACTAAATGAACTTTTGTTGGCAGGGTGATGTCTTTGCTTTTTAATATGCTGTCTAGATTTGCCATAGCTTTCCTCCCAAGGAGCAAGTGTCTTTTAATTTCTTGGCAGCAGTCACTGTCTGTGGTGATCTTGGAGCCCAAGAAAATATTGTTGAGTTTCAAGCCTACTTTTGCGCTCTCCTCCTTCACCCGCATCAAGAGGCTCTTTAGTTCCTCTTCACTTTCTGCCATGAGAGTGGTATCATCTGCATATCTGAGGTTGTTGATATTTCTCCCAGCAATCTTAATTCCAACTGGTGATTCATCTAGGCCTGCCTTTCTCATGATGTGCTCTGCATATAAGTTAAATAGGCAGGGCGACAGTATATAGCCTTGCCAAACTCCTTTCTCAATTTTGAACCAATCAGTGGTTCCGTGCCCAGTTCTCACTGTTGTTTCTTGACCCACATACAGGTTTCTCAAGAGACAAATAAGATGGTCTGGTACTCCCATCTCTTTAAGAACTTGCTACAGTTTGTTGTGATCCACACAATCAAAGGCTTTGGAGTAGTCAATGAAGCAGAAGTGGATGTTTTTCTGGAACTCCCTAGTTCTGCTGGCCACATGCTTTGCTGACTGCTCGCTTAGTGTTAGGATGGAGCAGGTCTCGGCTTATGTAAGGAACCGTTCTGTGTGGCCAGGAATTCAGAATCGAAATCCATGAGAAGATGCCTGACATATGGACGTCTTCTGTACATGCACAGTTGTCTTCCACCTGGAAACTGAAACTGAAAGCACAACCAGCAGGGGAAGTGGCTAAGTTGTGCATTGATGTGGAAGGTATAACAGTCTAAAGGAATTGGGAGTAGAAAAAGGACATCTTTTGTAGGAGACTCTAAGAAGTTTTGTACAGCATCTACAGGCTTTGGGACTTATCTGGGTCATGTGACTTTAGGAGAAGCCCTCAAATTGCCAACTACGTGGGGTGCATCACTTTCATAACAACTCTGCTATTAAAGAAGAGGCACGGCTAATTTTCGGAACTGCACTTCTCCCTCCGCATCTGTTCTGCAGATGGAGCATGGGCTGGGTATGCAATCTGGAAAGTCCCTGGCAGGGATGGATGAGCCAGCCTCGCTCCTCGTCTGATGCCCAGTTCCCATGCAGGGTTGTATTCCCTGCTTGCTTTGCAGGCGTGGAAAACTTGAGCAAATTGACCTGCGCCATAACAGGAGATTTGAGCAAATTTGTCCAACTTTGTGCACTCAGACCGGGAATCAGGAGCATCATGAATGCAAGTGCATATTCAATAGTTTGCGAATATCTTCTGCAGAGTTCTGAGCGGTTTTGCAAAAGTGGAATTCTCGTGCATCCGTAGTCCTCAGCTAGAATGTTCTCCTACTAAGACTGGAGACAGCTAAACAGTCTCCCAGAAGGTGACTGTGGAATGACGGAAGCATCATTCCCCAGCTTCTTTTGCCAAACGAGTGCAAAATCCATTTACCAGGGGCAGTAACTGGGGTGTGGCACAGAACACAGGCAGCGCTGCCCTGCTTTTACCAACTGCAACCCTTAAAATTGTCCGATATTGTCCGTCTCTAGTCGGACTCTATGTTGTAAGCCGCCCCGAGGCTTCGGCAAGGGGCGGCATAGAAATGTTTTAATAAATAAATAAATAAAATAGTCTAGGTGGAATTCTTTAAGACACCCTTCTTTTAGCCTCAGCTTCAGCCACCGCCCTTTTGTAAAAGAGGGGCGATAATCCCGACACAAGGTTTTGTTGTGTGTGGGGATATGTATGTTTTGCATTATGAATCATCAAGTATGAATCATTGATTAAAAGTTGTGGCCCCAGAGGTCAGAAGGAAGGAAATGGGAGTTTGGATTTGAGGCTGTTCTAGGCAAAGACTGGACTGTGGAAGACAAACACCAGGCTAAAGAAAGTCCTGTTTCCTTATGTGTTTAACAGTAACCGCAGATCCCATCTCTCCGCTTCTACTTCTCATCTATGCTATTTTATTGCTTGTCCTGCGCTATTTTGTCTGCAGTTTCGAGTCTCATATGCGTGTTTTCTTCTTAAAAGGAGTTTCAGTTGCAGTTGTTGGACGTGATTTTCGAGTCCAAAGGTGACCCTACATTTCTTAAACAAACAAATATGTTGAGACAACACGAAAACAACACTCAGTTAGTGTTATATGTCTGTGAGGGATTGCTAATACGGTACATCTGTGCTGCTGATTTATAATATTGCCACCAGGTGGAACTTGTTGCTTATGAAACAAGAGAAACACAAGAGTTCCGAATGGTTACGAAAGGACTCCTGTTGAGGTGCATTGTTTTCCCTGGAATTTGCACTCCGATTTCTTCTCAGATGACAATTTCCCGGTGGGGCGGCACTCACATAAATATCATCCCTGCTTTTGTTAAACAGGTCTTTCTAATGGGGATGGTGTTGAGATCGGTATGTTGAGAAAAGGGGGGAAAGACGAGGCTACCTCAGCGATGGGAGGCCTCAGTCCTTTGAGATAATGGCCAAGCTCCGTGAGTGAGTGCGGCAGCAGCTCCACCAATTTTAAAGAAGTTACTCAGCTGAGCAGAGAGTTCCTTGGAAGTGACTTAATGTGAATAAGAATGGGTGTTAGGCTGTCACCAGGTAGCAGTTTCTTTGGCATGACAGAACATGTGGCTACATCATATGATGGTCATGCAACATGGAATGTCACCAGGATGGTGACTCGGCATCCGAGAGCTTATTCTCTCACCCCTAGTGCTGCAAGGAATCCTGAGTCATACTTGGCAGGGACCTAAAGATTCTCTACTCCCCTCGCTCTGGTTGGGATTAATCATAGAGTTAGTTTCTTTCTTTCTTTCTTTCTTTCTTTCTTTCTTTCTTTCTTTCTTTCTTTCTTAAAACATTTTTATGCTGCCCCATTCGCCAAAGCCTCGGGGTGGCTTACAACAATAAGTTAAAAAATAATTATAATATTAAATTAAAAAAAAATATAAACATTAGGTTAAAAATACAAAAATACCAAGTTATACCAAGAGTTATGAGGCAAGGACTTGTGGAACTGTGCTGCTGAGAATTGTGGGTTTCCTCGATGAGAGAGGGATTGGTGAAGGCAACCATTCAAGCTTTCCTGATAGACAACTTGGCCACCACTGCTGATGATGCCCAAAATGTGACTTTGTGGCAGAGTTTGGGGATTTGCTCTAGGATAGGGATGTAGAAGCGCAGCTCCAGGGGCCAAATGCCAACTCCCTGGAGTTCCAGTCCAGCCCTTTGGAGTTTCCTAGATGGCCTCATCCCTCCTTCTCCCCAAACACTGGTCATTTGGTGGCTTCTGTGCAGTTTTGTGCTGAAAGAGGATCACCACTAGGGATGTGCGGGGAATCTGTTTTGAGGGCTCAGCTTCGCAGACCCTGCCCTGCTTTATCACAGCCGTGAGCCTGCCTTCCTCCATCCAGTCTTTGCATGATGGAAGGTTGCTGGTTGCACACCCAGACTTCGGTGAGTATTTGCAGACTTCCTCTCAGCTCAGCTCAGCCCCCGAGAAGCGTGAGAAGGAGGTCTGGCAAACAGAAGAGGGCCATATTCTGGCGAGGAACATGGCACCCCAAATCACCACCCCTGTTCTAGAGCCGACTTCTTCTCTCTAGGTGTACAGGAGCACAACTCCCATTATCCCCAGCCAGCCTGGCCAGTATCCTTCAAGATCTCCACATCTCTTCATCAAGCGAGATGTTATACAGAGCAAGAGGGGGGAAATGATGGATTGTTGAAATTTATTTATTTATTTATTAAAACATTTATATGCTGCCCCATTTGCCGAAGCCTCGGGGCGGCTTACAACATAATAAAAAATTACAATAGTAACAATATAAAATATAAAATAACAATATAAAATAAATAACAATATACAAGAAGTCGCCCTGGCCAGATAAATAAGCAAATACTGTTAACAATTAAAATGACGCTTAAATAAAAAGGTCTTCATGATGCCTGGATGGTCAGAGTCGTAAGATGTTGTGTAAGAGGAATCTCAGATTCTTAAAGAATGAGGCCCCATTATGCCAATTTCAAGACTGCTGGGACAAAGGAGCATGTAATGGCTGGTCCCCCCCCCCCCAATTTAAACAAAGAAAATGAACCTCTCTGCTGATTAATTAGAATGTGTACAAACATTCTGTGACCTCCCAGCAGCACAGCCAATGAGCACGGGGGCTGGGGCTGGAAATCTGGGGTGCTTCCCAGTGCCATCTCACTGACTCATACATGGAGTTTATAGATGGTCCAACTGTTGCCTTCCTGTATTTTCCCACAACACAAGGATGATAAGGGAAGGCATTTAGGGAAGGGGAATGCATTAATATTTTACGTGCCATTTGACTGGCAAGGCAATTAAGTTTAATTGCTGGGTACTTCGCCTGCCCAGACACCGGCGCAACACAACTGCAGCACATTTCATCTTCCAGAGAAGACGTGTGATTGCCCAACCCGCATCGAAGCCAAGCCTCTTCCTCACTTCCTCACCCGAATCCTCCTGTGTTGTGTTTTTGCTGTCGCTGCCTGTTCACTGTTTCCGAGAAGGACTTTGTGGGATTCTGGCTGGAGTAGGTAACAGTGGGTTCCTGATGCCAGTCTGCATTTCAGCACCTCGCCTGGAGGGCCATGTATTGCTTCCGAAGGGAGCCCAAGCTCAGCAAGTCTCAGGAAAACTTTCTGCTGGAAGAGAGCAGGAAAGTGGCAGCTCTGAATGGGAAGAGACTCGGTAAGAGGCTGATGCCCAACCTCTCTCTGTAGCAGTGGCAAATGTTCTAATCTCTGTTCCACCTTAAAGTAAACCAGAAAAGGTATTTTTTAACCCCTTTGAATGGTAAAGGAGGATTCTGGCTGGCACAAACACACACACCTTTTTCAGAGGTGTCAATCCACAGGGTTTGAAGGAGGTATTCTTGATGTTTAGGGCAAAATACCCCATGCGCAAACTGGTTTTTCCCCTTTGTTTTGTTTGTTAAATCCCAAGGACATTTTATGGAAATGCTGTGATTCATCTTCTATGACCTCTTTATTCTTATTCTTATTATAATCAGGAAGTCAAAAGTTGCCTCTTATGTATGAAATATCAGAGAATGAAAAAGAAGTAGGAAGTCTCCGTCTTCTTATCTCTGTCATTGCTGCGAATTCATGTTACCCCAGAATTATGCTGTGGATACAATCTTAGCTATATCTTCTTGGCGTCTGTAAACCTCTGTCTGTTTCTTCTGAGTGCCAGTGTCATGTGTGGTCAAATCGTGTGTATAATCTTTGCATATAGAAAACTAGCAAATCAAAGTGAACTGATGAGGAAAGGGCTAACCAGAAAGGCTGAGGGAAAAGTTAGCAGGAGAGTTTAGTCCTGAACAGCGAAAATGCTAAAGAATGTAAATGGTTATTGGGTCCAAGAGGAGTCAGCAAGATCCCTTGATGATAAAGTGTAGGATGACAATCAGAAAGTGCAGATCTACCAAAACAAATATAAATTTCCTTTGCGCTACTAGTAAGCTTGTGAGGATAAGGAAGGCTGTTGAAAGTGTTATAAAGGGAGCTCGTTGGCAGCTGTTTCCTTGTTATGCCTTCACATTTTATCAACTACTTGCATGCATGGAATAAAGGTTATTGTCGGTGTTTTTTGTGTGGCAAGGACTTTGAGTTCCAAGCAAGGAGGATGCTCCCGGGAACTGAAGTTGGGTCCCACCACGAGAAGACTGTTTTCGAGGCTGGGGGCAGATTCTGCCACTGGAAGCTCCTTGGATGGCAACCTGGATGGCCTAGTGCAGCAGCCAAAAAGCATCCAGAAAACCTGGTGGCCGTGGTGGGGGAGAGGAGGATGAGGAAGGGCCATGGCAGGGATCCTTGTCTCAGGGAGCCTGATGACTTGCGCTGGTCCTAAAAGGCAGCGGGAAGCCTCCTACCTTTGCAGCCTTAAGGAAGCAGGCAGAAATCACACCTGGACTGTTTGTCCTTAACAAATCCAGGTGTCTTAGTGAGTCTGGGCTTTTTGCATAGCATTATAACCCAGAGTTCAACAACCTATACCATAACTTAGCACTCTGTGCAAACCCAGCCATTGGACCGACTCAGGCTGTCTGGTTGTTAATTAACCCATGACTTGCTGACCTGATCAGACATTGCTCCAACAACCACTCGTAAGTTAAGCTTGGGTTGTTTAACCCACAAAGAACCCATAGCATTTAGGTTCTGATTCCAGTTGGGCCTATTGGAGGTTTCCTATTTAAAGAGATGGCAGCTTGCAGTTGGAATGCATCACAGCAAACTTGGGTTAATTAAACCATGGTTTGGGGCTCATTTCTGAGCCACTGTGGTTTGCACTCACCCCAGTTTCTCAGCTCTCGTGAACACAAAGTAGGCTCAGCAAACCTGGCATTTGCCCTACCCAAACCTAGAACTGCTTCAGTCCAGGTTTTGGCCCAGTTTGGGGGCTGAAACTCCCTCAGCAGGTTTCGCTAAGGATGTTCTTCCCTGGGACACAGGAGGAGGGAGCGGGTGCCACACTGTTAATTCTGCTGCATCTCTTGGCAACTTTTGGTAGCATGAGCGTGGTTTTCTTCTGGACCGGGAAGGCGAGCTGGAGGGATTTGATGCGCTGGTTCTGCTCCTGTTTGGCGGGTTGTGACTGTGGCATTTTGTTTTCAGTTTCATGACCTTTATGCTTTGGGGTCCTACAGGAATCAGTCTTGTGTTCCATGCTAGTTAACACTGACATTCATTAAATCCTGGGGAACAGAAATCAAGAGATTGGGGGTGAAGGGATATCAGTATGCTGAAGGTACCTGTTTCTCCTTCTCTTTCCTGTCTAGTGCAGGTGAGCCAGTGGATGGTCTGAACAGGTGTTCTTACAGAGTCATTCAAACTTTTGGTTCTGCCGTCTGAGCCACAGATGGCGTATCGCAACAACAAACTCATCAACTGGATTTGCTGATCATGTACAATAGAACTGCCAGATGCGTTAAGTATTCCTAGACAAATATTTAGCAAACTTCACAATAAAACCGGGATTAACGCAGAGGTAACATGGCAATAAGTAAATAAATAACCAGGCCGGTTGAAAGCAAAAAACAAAGGCAGATGTGACTGGCAGAAGATCAGGAAATACAAGAGCACGATAATACAGGGGTTGAAATAATCAGTAAGGCCCCAGTGCTCTCTGGGAAAGATACAAAGTCCTGTGTCTGAACTAGAGATGCGAGAGCCCTGAAAATAACAGGTGAATCCAGGCAGGCATGTGGAGAAATGTGTCCATTCCTCTTGCCCCAGGCCCTGGACTGCTCTTCTCTGAATGTAGGATTAAAATCAGGGAAGGTATCATTGGATATCTGCTAAGAATCAACCTGGGCCAGATTCTGCCCTTGCTGTTACTTACCTCCTCTGAGTATGCATGCACAGAGTGCAAATTTAAGAGCAGCGTGCTCAGAGTGCAAATTTAAGAGCAGTGCATTTCAGTTGTCTTGCACCCTTCCTTTAGATGGTTGCACAAACGGAGTCCAAAGCAAGAAGATGAGTGAATTGGGCAGCCCCAGAAGGGAGGACAAGGGCTCTCTCAAACCAGCTGCCACCTGGCACTGCTTTAAAGTTGTTCTGCCGTCACCCCGGCTGCCCGATACACCAAGGGGTTCTGCAGTCTGCAGGAAGGAAACCACTGGGGCAAGTGAGTGTCACCAACTGGCAGCAAAAGCAGTCAAGGATTTTGGGGTGCTTTAAAGATTAGCAGAGTGCTTTGGCTGTACAGCGGTATATAAATGAAATAAATAATAATACTAAAACAATGTATGACGACCTACGCTTTCATGGACATCTTTCATCAAAAGCACTCGATAAAGTGGACTGCATCCAGAAATGCTGATGCCATGATACATGCGTGTCATTAAAGCACCTACACTCATGAAAATGAATTGGTAGGCGATGCAGGACAGACATAGGAAGTGGGGACAGAGATCACTGCCCTATACCGAATCAAAGCTTTCATCCTTCAAGTGGCATATGGTTTACCCCACCAGGCAACGGAGTTCCCCAGAGTTTCACAGCACTCTTTCCCAGCCGTGCCTGGAGAAATTGGGACTCAAACCTGCAGCTTTCCACATCACAATCATGCAGTTTGCCACCGAAGTCCAGCTCTTCTACTAGGGTTCAGGGTGCAAAATTGTGCTTACTGTATATGCAAGAGGCCAAGTTGTGGCATTGGTCTCTTGCTTAGATGGCTTTTTACAAAGGGATCAGACAAGTCAGTGGAGGAAAAAACCTAACCTTGGGTGGTGTTACTATTTGGGGCCATCAAGTTCTGCCTGACTTATGGTGACCCTATGAATGGGAAACCCCGCAGACGTCCTTACATTGCAGCCTTGCTCACCTCTTGACATTCAAGACTGTGGCTTTCTTAAGGGAGACGATCCACCTCTTGGCTGGTCTTCTTTTGCCTTCAACTTTCCCTAGCTTTGTTGCCTTCTCCAGGGAGTATTACCTTCTCGTGATATGCCCAAAGTGACAGCCTCAGTTTTGTCCTTTTTGCTTCCAGGGAAAGTTCTGGCTTGATTTGGTTTAGAACCCACGTGTTGGTCTTTCTGTTGGTCCAGGTTGTTGCAAAGCTCACTTCCAGCAGCAGGTTTTGAACACAACATAATTTTCTTCCCAGAAGCTTTCTTCCCTGCTCAGCTTTCACACCCATCCGTAGTGATCGGGAATACAGGAGTGTGAATGATCTTGGCCTTGGCCTCCAAGGAAACATCCTTACACTAGATTATCTTTTCTAGCTCCTCCTTTGCTGCCCTTCTCAATCTCAGTCTTCTTTGAATTAATTGACTGCACAACCAATTGAGCTGTGCATCAAGAAATCCCCAGTGCGAATCCAGGCATTGGCTGTGGACTTGCTAGATGACCTTGCACGCAATCATGCAATTTGGAAAACTTGATAAACCCCCCCCCCAAAGGGTTGAATGGGGGTTGTTGTTGCACCCATGGTTCATTGATGGGTTGTTCATCATGATTGGTTCTCTCAGTGGCAGTGCTTCCGTCTGCAAGATATTGGATGATAGTATGGATGAATGTTTCGATTCAGTATAGGGCTAGTGACTGCAGAATGCAGACCACCTCTTGGAGGGAAAAACAGAAGATGGGATTTGGGGGCTGAATATACTGGAAAAGGGCATGTCTGACTGACTAGCCTCTGGCAGAAGTACTTTTATATTTATATTGTGATTTATATGCTGCCTTTTTCCTACATAGGGCTCAAGGCCGCTTACATCATCTCTCCTCCTCCATCTTATCCCCACAACAACAAGTACTTCACGCTGCAACATTTCGTTGCAGGTCCCATTTGTTCTGGTAGTATGTTCAAACGGAAAGCGCATGGGGCAGCTGGGGGTAGATTCGCTTTCAATACTACTTATGCAGGAAACAGCTTATTTAAGCATCCCTTTGTGGAAACAGGCCATGCCCTAATTAAATGGGCACGTTATTTCAAAACTTGTAGCAGGGTGGGTGGGGGAAAGAACAAGAGCTGTTACATCGTCATTTCTAGGAAGTACTTCTGTGCCAGTTGGAAGCAGAAGTTGGGGTTAGCCTGCCTGAACAATCCCATCCTCGTATTTGCAGCAAATTTCAACTCATTATAGGAAGAGCGTTTTGTGTGCAAATAGCTCCTGTGTGAAAAATTGGCATGTTTTGGCAGAAAAACAGTGGCCTGTCTTAAAAAGGTGCTCCTGGCAGTAGGGTTGCCTCTGCGTCCTATTGTACGGAGGGCAGTCTTCTCTTGGATGAAATCTGAAGTCTGCCATGTCCAATTCTCATTGAAAGATTTAAAAACTGCATGAACAGTCACCCATCCATAGTTTAGTGCCTGGGCAGCAGGCTGAACAGGTAAAGACATGACACCTGGCCACATTTCCACATGGTAGCAAGGTTGTATATATGCATAAGAAGAAGCATATGAATATTTTAGACAAATCACAGTCCTCTTTCATTTCCTTTTTTTGCGGGGGGGGGGGCATCTTTTCTGAGAAGCAGAAGTGGAGGCCCTATTGCTGAGTCTGAATGAGTTTCTGTTGAATCTTTAAGAAGCAGTTTTATGTACAGGAGTCAGGGAGTATTTTAGGAACAGTGGAGGTGTTCCTAAGCACCCCGAGCTAGACCTGTTTCCCATTGCTGCTGGCTGGCAGTGGGTCTCCAGGGGCTGAGCAGGGACTTTTTGAGTCCAACCTGGCAAAGCCAGGAATCAAATGCGGGACCTTATGCTTGCACTGAGCAAAGACCTTTAAAGAAAAACTCTCTCAAAATACTAGAACTACCCAATGCAGCTGTCTGGAGGGAGGTACAGGAAGGACAGAAATTGGGGTACTGGAGGGTTCTCTCCTGGGACCGGTACTCTTCAAGATTTTTATTAATGATTTAAATGAGAAAGTACAGGGAAAGAAAATTAAATGTGTAGTTGACACAAAGCTGAGTGAAATAGCAAATACCCTGGAAGACAGAGATAAGATACAAGGTGGTCTCTCTAGGTTAGAACTCTGAGCAGAGAACAGCAGAATGAAATTCATTAGGGCCAAATGCCAAGTCCTCCATTGAGGAAAAAGAAACCAGATGCATTGAGGCGAGATGGGGAACATGTGGCTCAACAATGCTGCGAATGAGAAGGATCTTGGGGTAGATCACAGGCTAAATATGAGCCAACAATGTGATGCAGCTGCAAAAAAGAGCAAATGCTGTTTTGGGGCTGCATTAAGAGAAGCATCACTTCCAGAACATACACCTCACTAGTCAGAGCTCACCTGGAGTCCTGTGCCCAGTTCTGGACACCTGCATTTAAAAACGACCCAGGCAAGCTGGGAAGGGTACAGAGGGGGTACAGAGGCAAGCTGGAAAGGGTACAGAGGGGGGCAACAAGGATGATGCAGGGACTGGAGGCAAAGCCCTGTGAGGAAGGTGGAGAGAACTCGGCTTGCTCACCCTCAGGAAGAGAAGACTGAGGGGGGATATGATAGCACTCTAAAAGTACCTGAAAGGTTGTCATGAACAGGAAGGACAAGACCTCTTCTCATCCGTTCCTGAGTGCAGGACATGGAACAACAGACTTAAGCTGAAAGAAACCATATTTAGACTAGACACCGGGAAGAATGTCCGGACTGTGCTAGCAGTACAACAATGGAACCTTAATACCTGGGGAGGTTGTGGGCTCTGCCCCACTACAGACGTTCAAAAAGCGCCGGACAGTCATCTTGGTGCCCTGCAACAGCAGCAGGTTGGACCCAGTGGCCTTCTGGCCCCTTCCAACTCTACTATTCCATGATTCTATGACATCACCACTCAGTGCGTACTTAGCTTGTGGAACTTTCTGCCACAAGGTGTGGCAACAGGCAATACTGAGAGGACTTCCCAGAAGGATGAGACATACAGATGGAAGGTACATCTCCGAGCAAGAGTTGCTGCGGGACCAGAAGCAGAAGGGGGTCCCTGCTTCCTGTCCCACTGGCCTGTATGGGAAATGAGGTGCTGGACTTGATGTGGCTGGTCCAGGAAAGCCCTTCTGGTGTCCCTGGGCCCGGTGGAGAAACCGCCGCATGCATGGTGACTCTCGCAGGCATTCTGACGAAGTTGCACGAAGTAATGCCACAAGCCCTTCCTCCTCACAATGCTCAGCTCCACGCCTTTTGAATGTCTCTGTGAGGCTCTCAGGTACTCAAGCCGATTTTTAAAAAGATCTTATCCATGGCTTGAGGTTTTTCGTCTAAAATGCACGTCAGTTCTGGTTGTTACTTCTACTTCAGCGGCACAGAGTCACACTGGCTCTCTTAACAATTGGTTTGCTGCTGCGGTTGTTCAATTCAGGGCTAGTATCAAGGGAATGCACCTGCCAAAGGCCCACACCTTAGCCGGATCCCACTGACAAGGCTCTTCTCTTCACCACTGGGACCTGCCTCCTCACCTGCCTCACCTGCGTTGGCCTGGCAGTGGTGCTTGGGAGAGGACGAGGGAGGAGATGCCTGGCCTGCTTGCTCCGTGGCTTCTCTGCCTGCCAAACAAGCAAGTGGTACCCATGCTGAGGGTGTGGGGGGGGGAGCGAGGAGGAGCGGGAGCAGCTGGTGCCAGTGGGCACGGAAAAGTAGACCCATTTTGGGAGGATGTCCGTGGAGCGGGCTTGGAATACCTGGAAGCGGCTCCGATTCCGTGGCCAAAGTCCTGCAGTCCACATGACTGCAATTGCAGCCTTGGCAGGTCCCGAGTGATGCACGGGTGTCTTACACGAACCGTGACAGCTGTGTACGTAGTTTGGATTAAATTACATCAGGGCAGGTGGACGAGTGACACAGCCTACTCTTGCACGGGGTGTTAATCTGAATCCCTTGTGGCAGGCTAATTAGAGAATTATCCTTGGTTGAGTCATTGGGATGCAGGGCAAACGGCAGTCCCTCGCCGAAGTTTTGCAGCGGCTAAGTATCACGAGACGGAGCAAGCACCGCATTTTGATGACTTCTTCTGAACCTTCGTTGTCACAGAACTGGTTTCTTCTGCTTGGTTTTCTGGAATTCATTTAGGAACATGCATGTCAGTAGTTCTCCTGCTTGCTATGTGCTCCTGATTCGCTGTGTTGTTTTGTTTGCAGGAGGGGCATGAAAAGAATTAAAAATAAATAGCGGACCAACTGGCCCCCCTCCAGAAGAGTTGGATAGCAATTCCTTAATTCCTGGGAAGCCATGGCAGGGTGTGGAAAGAACAGTAAATGGTGAGGGCAGAAGGAAATTAAATGCAGAAAGTACTACAAGAGATAATCAGTTTATCAGCAGTGTTCCTTCCCAGCACAGTTATTGCTGAAAGCACAGAGACCAGGTGAAACCACCAATATAATGCAGATTTGAATTTGGACAACACTAACCCACATTCAAAGGTTGAGTGTGGTTTGTTGGCAAGCTGTTGTTGAAATCTGGCTTGTTGTGTTGTATGAACAATGTTGCCACAACAAGCCATAGTGAGCAACAACCCATGGTTCATAAGTCAACAACAAACCATGGTTTTTCTTCATGGGTTGCTTGTACCACACGACATGGCTTGCTAGCACAGCTAGTTCAGACAACACAATAACCCATGTTTTGACAGGGTTCAGTGGCAACCCACACTTACTGTGTCGCCTGATCTCAGCATGACTGTGATAAAAATCCTTTTTCCCAATTCAGGTCTCTGGGAATAGAATCAAACTTGTTGATGAATTTTAAGTTCGTTGTCTAGTGGGTTGAAATAATTCTTGCATCTTGATGTTGAACAGGGTTGCAAGATGACAAGGACCTGAAGTTCCTTCTGAGGGGGTGTCACCTGCTGAAAATCAAGTCCAGCTCTTGGAAAAGAGAGAGGTTTTATAAGCTGCAGGAAGACTGCAAGACAATATGGCAAGAATCAAAAAAGATGTTACGATCGCCCGAATCTCAGCTCTGTAAGTATCCATTCATCTTTAATCCAACACCCACTGCAGTGCTTATAAATACTTACTGTATAAGTTAGTTATACATACTGATATATTGTGATCTATAATATGTTTTGGTGTGAGCTTGGGTGGACTCCGGGAGATGGTGGAGGACAGGAAGGCCTGGAGGAATGTTGTCCATGGGGTCACAATGGGTCGGACATGACTTTGCGACTAACAACAACAACAAATAATATGTTTTATATAATTATGCTTGAGTATTATACCCTAATTTATATAGTATGATTTGATGTACTATTTTGATTCTTGTACTGCTCTAACAGTCAGGAAACTTTTCCTGATAACTAGTTGGAATCTGGCTTCCTGTAACTTGAACTTGTTATTCCATGTCCACTCTGGGTGATCCAGAAGACATCCTGGCCTTCCTCTTTGTGACAGCCTTTCAAGTACTTGTCAAGTGCTATCAAGTCTCCACTCAATCTTCTCTTCTTGAGGCTAAACATGCCCAGTTTCCTAAAGATGAAATGTCTCCAACAAAGCCGGCTTAACACTCACATCCAGTTTTGACTTGATCAAAGATTTTCAGCATTAGCACAGTCCAAGAGACAATATTCGTACTCGGCGCTGTGAGGCAAAGCACAAGGACGATACCCCGGTGAGGGGTGGGGTTGCCAACTTCGACTGAAATTACGCCTGACAAGTTCCTTCTCCTGCAAATATTTGACCCAGAACCCAACTGTTAACATCTCAAAAGCTGGAGTTTAGCAATGATTCCTGGAGACTTTCAGCCCATCCTGGCAGAGCAAAGCTGCCCCTAACAAGGCTCTGCAGATATGTGCCTGTAAGAACATTCATGTGTTTCTAATGCATCCAGAAATAATTCAATATCAAACATTCCAGGTGCCTGCACAGCCATCTCACAGCTTGGATGCTAGGTTTTGCTAGATAAAAAAGGGATGACAGAATGAAGGGCGTAAGGGGGTGCAGATCTGAACTTAAAAGCTCACTGAACTAGTTCTAATTTTGCTCTCTTTTTTAACACCAGCTGGGCCTGTAAAAGAACTGAGTCTAAGAACTAATCCTGAACAAGGGAACCTGTTCTTTAGAAGTGTGTCTTTCTTACCAAAGAGGAAGGCCTCACAGCCTTCAACATATAGATTTTTTACCCCTGGGTGTGGAATAATTTTACCAGAGATGTTCTGATGATCGATGCCCAATGGTAGGCAACAGTCTGAGGGCAAAGGACAGCAGAATACCGGGATACTTTAGGTTCCAGTTTTTAATTCCAGTATTTATTTATTTGATTTCTATGCAACCCAATAGCCAAAGTTCTCTGGCAGCTTCATAGCAACTGAAGCCATGCGAAGAAAGCTGCAAAAACCATTCGGAAGGTGCAAAAGCCAGGAAACCAACCAATGATGGGCGGTTGTGGTAGAAGAAGGGTCTGGTCTCAGGTTCGACACCACTGTCGTCCACATCAGGGCTGCTGTCAGTTTACATTACAGAATATTAGAGTTGGAAGGGGCCAAGAGGGCCATCGGGTCCAACGCTCTATTCAGTGCAGGACTCCCGGTTCCACCATCCCTGTCAGGTGGCTGTCCCGCTGCATCTTGAATGCCTCCAGTGTAGGAGAGCCCACCACCTCGCTAGGTCTTTGCTTTCATTGCCTTACTGCTCTAACAGTCAGGAAATTTTTTCCTGATCTCTGGCCAAAATCTGGCTTCCTGTAACCTGAGCCCTTTAGTCTGTGTCTAGCACTGTGTCCTGTAGCTGGAATTTTAAACATTCACTTGTGACAGACAAACAAGAAATAGATTCTTGTTGCACACTGGCAATGTACCTGCTTAAAAGAAAAATTAATACTGTGAACACAAGCAGAAAGGTTTTTTTTTTTTCCTGCTAGAAGGCCTCCGTTTGTTTGCTAGCCCTTCGGAGGGACCCACTGGGATAAGATTTGGTGGTAGAAAAATAGCACACTGCCTGGATTTTGCTCCTGCTGGTTAATAGAGTTTCAGTGGACAAAGATCAACAGGAACTGCTTTTCATGAGAGGAAGCTAATTACTGCCTTAAAGCCTTGCAATTCTATTTGGTAGAGGCTCCCTCAGTCTATATAAAGGAGCCCGAAAGGATCAGAGTAAATTTGACAGTGTTGGGGGGCATTTGGTGCTGTGCTGCTCTTCTGGTTTGACTCTTTAAGCTTCTGTGTGGGATTTTAAAAGTCAAAACAGTGAAAGGGGAAGTACAAGCAAGCCAAGGAGCAGGATGGCAGCTCCGGATTGGCAGGCAAAGGGTCAAGGATTATCTAATTGAATGAGTTGAATGAGTTCAACTTTCCAGGGTTTGATGAACTTCAACCTAGAGTATAAAGGAGAAGGCAGAAGGACTCACAGAGCCACTCTCTATTCTCTCTGTGAAATCATTCATTCATTCATTCATTCATTCATTTATTAAAACATTTTTATGCCGCCCCATTCGCCGAAGCCTCGGGGCGGCTTACAACAATAGAGGATGGGGCGGTGCCAGATGACTGAATTAGGGCTAATGCTGTCCTTGTCTTCAAGAAGGGAAAAAAGAAGAACCTGGGAACTATAGACCAGTCTGTCTGATATCAATCCAGGTGGGCATCCATCAGAGAAGGATGGTTTAGCTTGGAGTCCTGCACTAAGCAGGGGGTGGACCTGATGGCTCTCTGGCCCCATTGACTCTGTTCTTCTAGGATTCTATGATACCATAGGCCACAGCTAATTTTCCAATTAGCTTGCAATGGCTCCCTGTTTCATGCCCAGCCCTTAATGAAAAACAAAGTTCTTAACCAGATACCATCTAACTACAAAGCAAACAAGGGTGTGCAATTTGAAAAAAGAGAAAGTCAAACCCCACCAGCTTTGTTGCAGGAAACATGAAGCTGATAAATACACTACATGAAAGACTTGCTCAGGCCCCACCTAAACTGGATTTTCAAGTATTTTCTGGAATTGTTTGCAATTACAATTGATTCTGTTGGACTTTATTCCAAAGCTACTGCCAAAGCTGAATGGATGGGGGGAAACCCAGATTTCCTTTTAGTTGCATATCCCAAAGCATTCGAAAGAAAAGGTATTTTTCTTAAAATCTAAAAGACCTTGCAATTCATAGGAAGGGTGTAAGGATTTCAACTGTCTTCCCCTGGTTTAAGAAAAACCAGTCTTCTAAGTTGCTAGTTCATATAACAACGTAGGGTCAGCAAGTGTAGAGAAATGCACATTAGGACAAAAATCCCACCTTCAGGTATGAACTGATGGGATCTTAGGTAGCAATAACTGACCAAGCAAGAGAATGAGGGGTTAGGGTTAGGGTTGTTGAAGATGTCAACCCCATGCAAACAACATGTTAGGCATTGTTAGGAATTGTTGTTGTTGTTAGTCATGAAGTCGTGTCCGACCCATCGCGACCCCATGGACAACACTCCTCCAGGCCCCCCTGTCCTCCACCATCCCCCGGAGTCCACCTAAGCTCACCCCCACTGCTTCAGTGACTCCATCCAGCCACCTCATCCTCTGCCGTCCCCGTCTTCTTTTGCCATCTATTGTTCCCAGCATTAGGCTCTTCTCCAGGGAGTCCTTCCTTCTCATTAGGTGGCCAAAGTGTTTGAGTGTCATCTTCAGTATCTGGCCTTCTAAAGAGCAGTCAGGGTTGATCTCCTCTAGGACTAACCGGTTTGATCGCCTTGCGGTCTAAGGGACTCGCAGGAGTCTCTGCCAGCATCACAATTCAAAGGCCTCAGTCCTTTTGCTCTCAGCCTTCCTTATGGTCCAGCTTTCACAGTCATACATTGCAACTGGGAAAACCATAGCCTTGACTATACGCACTTTTGTTGGCAGGGTGATGTCTCTGCTTTTTATGCTGTCTAGATTTGCCATAGCTTTCCTTCCAAGCAGCAGGCGTCTTTTAATTTCTTGGCTGCAGTCCCCATCTACGGTGATCTTGGAGACCAGGAAAATAAAATCTGTCACTACCTCCATTTCTTCCCCATCTATTTGCCAGGAAGTGAGAGGACTGGATGCCATGATCTTAGTTTTCTTAATGTTGAGTTTCAAGCCTACTTTTGCACTCTCCTCCTTCACCCGCATCAAGAGGCTCTTTAGTTCCTCTTCACTTTCTGCCATGAGAGTGGTATCATCTGCATATCTGAGGTTGTTGATATTTCTCCCAGCAATCTTAATTCCAACTGGTGATTCATCTAGGCCTGCCTTTCTCATGATGTGCTCTGCATATAAGTTAAATAGGCAGGGCGACAGTATATAGCCTTGCCAAACTCCTTTCTCAATTTTGAACCAATCAGTGGTTCCGTGCCCAGTTCTCACTGTTGTTTCTTGACCCACACACAGGTTTCTCAAGAGACAAATAAGATGATCTGGTACTCCCATCTCTTTAAGAACTTGCCACAATTTGTTGTGATCCACACAATCAAAGGCTTTAGCATAGTTGATGAAGCAGAAGTAGATGTTTTTCTGGAACTCCCTAGCTTTCTCCATGATCCAGCATATGTTGGCAATTTGGTCTCTAGTTCCTCTCCCTCTTCGAAATCCTGCCTGTATTTCTGGTAGTTCTCGGTCCACATACTGCTGGAGCCTAGCTTGTAGGATTTTGAGTATAACTTTGCTAGCATGTGAAATGAGTGCAGTGGTGCGGTAGTTTGAACATTCTTTGGCATTGCCCTTTTTTGGGATTGGAATATAAACTGACCTTTTCCAATCCTGTGGCCACTGTTGAGTTTTCCAAATTTGCTGGCATATTGAGTGTAGCACTTTTACTGCATCGTCTTTTAGGATTTTGAATAGCTCAGCTGAAATACTGTCGCCTCCACTAGCTTTGTTGTTGCTCAGACTTCCTAAGGCCCATTTGACTTCACATTCCAGGATGTCTGGCTCGAGGTCAGTGACCACCCCATCGTGGTTATCAGGGATGCTAAGCTCTTTCTTGTGTAGTTCTGTGTAATCTTACCACCTCTTCTTATTCTCTTCTACCT